TTATATCTTTAAAACTAGAAAGGTTAAAGAGTATTGAGAAGGCAAACCACACCAGTTTTACGGCCGCACCACAAATGACGTCACAACTCACCATTATTTCGTCCGACCACATCTTTTTTTATCCTACTTTTTTAAAGAAGAAAATCTTCCGAAGTTACAGTAGACATAAAGCAATTCATGTAAATTTGTATTGCATAACCCTCTCAAGCAAATCAAACCTAATTTTAATGTTCCCTACAAAAAAAGCTGTAGATTCTTTAAATCCCAGATCTGTAAAATAAGAAAATAACAGAAAAGTGTGAGGTCCGGACGAAAAATAGGTAAAGCACACATATTTTCTACCTCATAAGAAAAGTAAGTGTTTGAAATACCTAAAACTGATGCAAAAAAAAACATGCACATTTGCTAAAATAATTTTCAGAAGCATATATGAACCTTATATTGAATATATATAATTTATATATCACATATCTAAAATACTATTTCTAAATTTTTTCCAAAAATGTATGACATGTGATATAGGATAGAAATATCTTAAACTTGTGCAATAACACCGCGAAAACACTGCAAAAACACCAGACAACGAACATCTATATATATACTTGTCTGTCTGTCAGGATGTTTGTATCCAATAAACGTCAAAACGGCTAAACTGATCAGGCCAAGTTTTGTGTGGGTCCTCGGGAAAGGTTTATGGTCATGGATAATTAGATTTTTATTAAATTTTGAAAATCAACAAAATTTTTTTTTATAAAAGCCTTCAACTTATTTTGTTCTTGTTTTACAATGTCAAAGAGAAAATGTTCAACATTAAAAAATAAGATGCCCGCGAAGCGCCCTGAAAGCCTAGTTATGAATAAATCATTATCTTTTGTTTTATCGGATGAATATATTTATAAAATCCAACAGTTGATTTGAATCACTTTCTGATAAAGAAATTAGATTATACTAATTAATGCAAAGTTTCTAGATTGCACACTTTGATAATTTTGAAACTGCAAAAATTTTAGACTGCAAAATTAATTAATATTTAATTACCGTGTCATTTAGAAATCCGCGAAAAGGAGGTTCCGTTCATTCGCAATTTCGGACTCGTAGTTTTTGGATTCAATTACCCTCACTTGTTCATTGACTGTTGGCTGGGTAACAACGTTTAGGTAGAATTTTTATCTTTTGAAATATTTCTTTATTTGGTTTTAATTTTTCTCTCAACTCCACGTTTATGTGTTTGTTATATTTATACAATTATGTTTTCCACGGGCAACACCGGGCCCTTCAGCTAGTTTTTAATATTTCTAGAAAAAAATTCAATTGAAATGAACTATTTTTTTAATTTTACGTAGTATAAAAGCGTTTTATATCTTGAAATAGTCAATGCATCATGACAATGACATTTTTATAAGATACAACACAATTTAGGCACGACGCGACATGTTAGAAACTTTTAGAATTTAAGTTTCTTCTGTATCTTAATAAAGGATTTTGTCTGTTCAAAAACTTTACAGCACTAGGAGAACCAAAATAATAATTAGTTAAATAGTTAAAAATTATAATGGATTCATTCACATGGGAAATAAAATTCCAAAAATCTTGCAAATAACCCGTCTATCTCTTTAACAGGTTGCATATTCAATTGTAAATCTCTAGAGACACATACACATAAAGAAAAATTGGGTATACACTCATATGCTACAAAGCCCCCCCCCCCCCCACACCTTCTCTCGTTAGTTCTAACCCGATTAAACTATTTTTATCAAACATAAATGATTTCGCCCTTAAAATTGAGATATATGGATGTTTAATACATGTTCCAAGTCAAACTTTTCAAGGCCATCTATTTCAAAAATTAGACCTCTGACTTTATAATGGTTAGGGTGCTAGGGAGGTTTAAAAAAGTTCAAGAAGTACGTCGGAAAAATGCTGAAATAAATTTTTTTACTTTGACAAATATTTGAATGTGACAAATGTTAGTGTCAAATTACATCCGATCTTCAAGGGCTTTTCAAATAAATGAACTTTAGATTTATAGCTTTATTAATAAAAAAGTTATGGACTAGTTTTGATTGTTTGACTATCCACTAAGAAGTTGAAAACGTGAAAAAGTTTGAGCGCGCTGGTGTAAGCCGTTATATTCACCCTCCCAATTGTAAAAGGGATAAATAAAGGTTGCCAAGTTTTATACAGGGAAAAACAAAAAAACTGCGGATAAGAAAGACGACATCCAATTAAGCTTCAATTGTATTTGATGTTGTTATGAAGCAAATAGCTTTACTGGATGCTGGAAAATATACGTATTTAGTGCACACTGCAAAGTTTCTTTGTCTCATGTCTATTGCATTATAGCTAAAACTTTAGTTTAAAAATTAACAATGTTTTCCAAAATAATCTTCAGCCGTGACAATAAAGTTTTAGCCAGTACAATAAAGTGTTCAGCCGGGACAATAAAGTGTTCAGTCGGGACAATAAAGTGTTCATCCGGGACAATAAAGTTTTAGCCAGGACAGTAAAGTGGTCAGTCGGGACAATAAAGTGTTCAGCCGGGACAATAAAGTGTTCAGCCGGGACAATAAAGTGTTTATCCGGGACAATAAAGTGTTCAGCCGGGACAATAAAGTGTTCAGCCGGGACAATAAAGTGTTCAGCCGGGACAATAAAGTGTTCAGTCGGGACAATAAAGTTTTAGCAAGGACAGTAAAGTGGTCAGTCAGGACAATAAAGTGTTCAGCAAAGACAATAAAGTGTTCAGCCGGGACAATAAAGTGTTCAGCCGGGACAATAAAGTTTTAGCCAGGACAGTAAAGTGGTCAGTCGGGACAATAAAATGTTCAGCCGGGACAATAAAGTGTTCAGTCCGGACAATAAAGTGTTCAGCCGGGACAATAAAGTGTTCAGCCAGGACAATAAAGTGTTTCGCCGGGACAATAAAGTGTTCAGCCGGGACAATAAAGTTTTAGCCAGGACAGTAAAGTGGTCAGTCGGGACAATAAAGTGTTCAGCCGGGACAATAAAGTGTTCAGCCGGGACAATAAAGTGTTCAACCGGGACAATAAAGTGTCCAGCCGGGACAATAAAGTTTTAGCCAGGACAGTAAAGTGGTCAGTCGGGACAATAAAGTGTTCAGCCGGGACAATAAAGTGTTCAGCCGGGACAGTAAAGTGGTCAGTCGGGACAATAAAGTGTTCAGCCGGGACAATAAAGTGTTCAGCTGGGACAATAAAGTGTTCAGCCGGGACAATAAAGTTTTAGCCAGGACAGTAAAGTGGTCAGCTGGGACAATAAAGTGTTCAGCCGGGACAAGAAAAGGGACTATAGAGTTCGTTTTAAAAAAAGATGATCAAAAATTTCTGTTTTATAGATTTGTTGGTGGTAAGCAATGTCTCTGATACTTCTGTTAGCTTGGTGCCTATGCGTAGCAAGAGGGTTAGATGCACGTGAACCCATTAGCTCGATTAGGTAAAGTTCAGCACCATTTTGCTAAACAAACGAACATCTTTTTAACAAACACAAACTTTCAAGAACGATGTTGTTGAAAAATAATAACGAACGAGGAGCGAACGAACTGGATAGTTCAGAAAAAATTTAATAATGGCCGATGTTCACTATAAGAGCATAAAGGTGATCTACAATTGTTCAATAAATTCATAAATGATTAAAATTCGTTCACATGGTTCACTATCTATAAATTGTGTGTTCACTAACAATTTAAAATCGTTCACAAACGTTCACAGTTGTCAAATCTTTAATTCAAGAACGGTCTTCGATTTTTCAGAAATGTTTACAATATTTACATCTTTCGTTCAAGAACTAGCTGTTGTTGAATGAACAAATTTTCAGAACAAACAATTTTTTGATCAACAATTTTTCTGAAAAATTATTTTTCTGAATGAACAATTTTTCTGAACAATCAATCAATCGTTAATGCAATTAATGAACGAAACTCAAGTGAAATTAACAAATTAACATTGAACGAACGAAATTAGATTAGAACCGAACAAAACAAAAAACGAACAGAATAACATGAAAACACTATTTGAGGATCACAGACTACACAGACTGCTCATACACTCTACCTGGATAGGCTGAGCAGGCCTTTAGTGTCCTGGCACGACATGCTACGGTTCCATATAATGTTTTTTGACTTCGACATCTGACGGCCTCTTGTTGCATTCAGGGGTTAAGTTTTGCAACTTTTAAAGAAATACTCCAATTTTATACACGAAACAAAACGTTCATGAATATTGTCTATTTTTAAGGATTTTGCATTTCCTTTTGAAAGGATCTTCAAATATTCCAGAATACATATGTCTCCTGATTGGTCGTGTACAGTACTTGTACACAATATAATATGCAGTGGAAAATATAGCATATATATTATAGGTGTTAATCGATCTCTGTAACTCTCTTATCTCTGTGTAGGATAGAGGAGGAGAATAATGTTCTCAACAGTTCAACTAATACAGGAAACATGGAGGATGGTCTTAACCCAACTCACAACACGTCAGCTGGGGCTAACAGAAAACAAAGAAGTAATTAATTGGTTATTATCAACTGTGGGACTATGCATATCTTACCGTTCAAAGGAGTCCCTGAATTTGTTTATCAAAATGGCCTTGGCATTTTTGCCGATATTTAGTATACAACATTTTGATGAACCAGAAATATTTCTTTAAAAAATGGTTGTTATAATATATAAAAAAGCATATATAGTTTTATTTTTAATTTATTCATTATTATCTACAGTGAAACCCTTAATAACGAATGCATCGAAAGAATTCATCAAATGTCGTATTCTAATGGAATGTTGCAGATATTTAGTTTTTTAATTAAATGATTATATGGAACTCTTTAAAACCGTTCCCACATATTCATGGCTATTTATTTATTTTCGCAAATACTGAAATTTACGTAATATAGTATAAAACTCATTGAAAATTGTCAAGACGACATTTGATAAATTCTTCCGATGTATTCGTTATTAAGGGTGTCACTGTATGTTAAAAATGTGCAAGTTGTGTTTCATACATTTTTTACAAGATTTTATATTTTTAATATTTATTTGAAGAAAAAACTTTACACACAAAAATATACAATACTTTTAAAGTAACTCCAATTATACTTTCCTTCTATTTCAGTTTTTTCTCTTTTTAACATCGTACAATTTACTAACATGGCTTGTAATGGCTTGGACGCTACTTTCCCAGTTGGTAAGTGTGCTCTGCATTTCAAATATTGTGAAATTAATTTAAATTGAAGAAACATAAATAAACAAAATAAGAGAATGCACGATATTATAAATAGGTTCAAGTTACGACTTAAATTAAATTACAATTTTTAAAAACTATATAAATATGACATTGAGTTTAAAATTGAACAGGAACCTGTTTCTCGACGGGTGAGTGTACATCGAAAGGAGGAACAACAAGTGGTAGCTGTGCGGCAGGTAATACCAGGGTAGTCTTTTTTATACAACATATATTTTGTAAACATGTTCCCCAGCCTGGAGATTGTTGATTTTTTATTTTCAAATGATTAAAAAAGATGTTGTCCCAGTTTAAATTTGCTAGACAAAATGGTTTTTATTTAAAATTTCATTTACTAAGCAGTGACCACTAAATAAGTAAAATTTTAGGCATTTAATTCAATAATAATAACATTGCCAATTTTGCCATTAAAAAAACTTTGAAAATCTAATTTTTTATCTTGGATTAATCAATGGCCTCTGTCAAGAAAGTTCAACTGTTAAAACAGCTTATGAATTCTCCTTCTTATATTCTTAATATGAATATTTTATTTTGCAGGGTTCGGAGTTTGCTGTCTGTTTAAAACATCAACCTGTGGTGGATCTGCTAGTAACAACATAACATATATTACAAACCCAGAGTTCCCCGCCACCTACAATACCGCAGGTTATTCGGCAAAATATTTCTAGTGCTGGGCACATTCTTTAATCTATATAATAAAACAAGACATTTGTATATATATGTTGCCTATAGCCGGCCAAACGGCTGGACCGATTGGGCTAACATTTTTTTAGACACTCAGGGTGGCCGGGAGGTGTTATAGGCTAAAAAAATTCGAAAATTTGTTATCCAATTTTTTATTTTTTAAATATTTTTTTTCACGGGCAACGTCGGGTCCTTCAGCTAGTTTATATAAAAAAGAATACATTCGTATAAATATATATATATATTGCCTACAGCCGGCCAAACGGCTGGACCGATTGGACTGAATTTTTTTGTGGACACTCATGGGTGGCCAGGGGGTTTTATAAGCTAATAAAAATTCGAAAATGTTTTACTCAATTTTTTTCTTTCTTTTTTTCCACGAGCAACGCCGGGCCCTTCATATAGTTTTTTATAAATTAATTTGTTCCTTGTTTGAAATTATTGGGACTAAAGTTGATTTGTTACTTGTAGATATTGGTCCAATACCCAGTGGAGATCCTTAGAGTGCGGGTCGTGGGG